GGGAGGGGTCATTTGATAAACTGGTGATGCATGTGTTTTAGTGAGATACGAAATGGGGGTGTCCACCCTCTGCTTATAGGACAGTGATGGCAAACCTTTTAGAGCTTTCAATGATAAACTGCCCGCTGAGGCACGTGTGCCATAGGCTCGCCACCACTGGTATAGGGGCACCTGTGACCAGCACCTGCCCATTCTCACTCTGCTTGAAATCCACGCACAGACCAGGTACACGGCACAGGGGGGTCCAGGTAGGTGCCAGCAACAGCACTTCTGGCATCTCTGCACCCCATTCATTGCCAGAGCCAGTGAGGGCACAAGGGAAGATGATCTCTCTTGCCCTCACCCGCTGTGTGCTGAGGCTGTACCCAACCTTCAGAGCAGGTACCGGAAAAAATGAACAAAGGGTTCTGGCATTGTAACGGGGCCCTGGTGATGAGGTGATGTGCCCCGTGGCAGAGGCCGTCTTGGTGGGGCAGCCCTTCAGCTCCACCCTCTTAGAGGGTAAGCAATGGAGACCCAGAGGACACAAGTCCCTCCTGAGATTCTGCAGCAAGTACGTAAATTTTTAATCTGTGTGGGTTTGTGTAACATCATACCGTCTACTGCTGTACCCTGACCTCCAACCCTTCCAGGCATAAAATGGTCCAACAGTCCTAGCACATCCGCTCTGTAAATTAACAGGTATTTCCTCAGCCCAGATTTACCAGCGTGCTGGCCTTAACTACAATGTTAACGTAAGTTACGCTCTCTGTCTCAACAAGCTTATCTACTGGAAAAGCCAGATGGAAATAGGTAAACAATTACGTGAGCTGGCGTAGTGGCACATGCCTGTAATCCCAGCACTTAGGAGGCTGAGGCAGGAGGATTGCTCTGAGTTTGAGGCTAGCTCAGAGGATGAAGCAGGACAACTGCCGCAAATTTGAGGCTAGCCTAAATTCTACTTGGTGGGAGACACCCCCCACCAAAAAAAAAAAAGTTACAGACTGAGGACAGCACGGAAGAGCCAAGGGGTAAATAGTATTTGGGGGGTGAGACTCACCTACATGTTCAGTAGGACGGCCTGTGCACAAAGTGAGTTTGAAATCGAACACCATTTTTGTGGGAATGGGAACTACCTCAGGCAGGAAAGTTACGCTGAGGTCTACAGGCAGGGGCGGGAGCCTTCCAGGCCAGGTAGGGACAGTGACAAGTGGTCTCCCAAGCCCAACTGGGTCAGGAACAGGCTGTGAGAAGTAGGTCATCTATGTCCAACCCTCCATGAAAGGCCCCTTAGGCCTGCTGCAATAAAATCCTGGACATGGCCCAGGGTCAGAACCACCCAAGCTTGGTAAGAGCCCCCCAGACCCAGGCCCAGACGTCCCAGCCAGCTCCTCACCCTCCCACTCCCGCCCGGGGACCTTCCTGTTCACTTGCTGCAACATCAGAGCCCTGCTAGCCTCCAGGTGGGGCATCTTCAGTGTGTTCATGTTCCACCAGCCGCCAGCCTAGACCACAATGGGAACAATGTAATGAGTTCCCAATGCAATAGGTCAGAACATGCTGCACATAAAAATACACAGCTTGGGGCTGGGGATGTAGTTTAGTGGCAGCACACTTGCCTAGCTTGTGTGAGGCCCCGAGTTCAACCCCCAGTACTACCAAAAAAAAAAAAAAAAGGGGGCCTCATGCTTTAAACCATTTGACTTAAACAGGTGCCTGTGTCCAACTGCTTCTCTTTCCTTGTCTCTTGGCCATAACCAAATATGAGGGGGCCATCCTCCATCCCAGGTACTAACATCAAGGTCATACATGCTGTAACCCCAGCACTTAGGAGGCTGAGGCAGGAGGATTGCTCTGAGTTTGAGGCTAGCTCAGACTACATGATGAGACCATATCCCAAAAAACAAAACATAAAGGGAATTCTCTCCACAGTTTTACAAGTCCTCAAGCTGCTCCAGCATCAGACTGTCTTGCCCTTCATTGTTGGTCAGACTTTGGAGAAGCATGTTGACGCATTCTTGCCCACTAACCGTTAAATCTGTACTTCCTATCTTCTAACTAGAAGTCCTGCTTATTTAGTGTGCCCCTCTCAAAGGGTCATAACGGAGAGTGAGTCTGGAACTTTACATAAAAAAGTGAAGTTCACAATCCCACGGTCAAGGCTGTTAACCCGTAACCTCAATGCCCAGAGATAGTAAGGACGGAGTGGTGGATACTGGCTGCTCTCTGCTGGGATGAAAAGGATTCTGGTTCTCCGGGATTCCGATGACAAAAAAGGATGCAAAAAGCCAATGCACTAAGACCTAGAAGGTCAACTTTAAGGAGGGTGGCTCAGGTTGGAGATACAACAGCAGAGGCCTGAGAGGGGTTGCAGCTGAGGGCCAATTTCCAAGAGTGGGCTCACCCACTCTGAAACTACTATTGCCCTGCTTTGTCCTAACGCTACATGTCCATCTACCTTTCTCCCTTTCCTCAATCCCGAAGGACTCAGGGACCTACAGATAGTCCCCATCTCCCCCCAGTTCTGGGGATTGAACCTAGGGCCTTCACACTGAATCTTATCCTCAGTCCCTTTTAATTTTTTATTTTGGGGCAGGGTCTTGCTAAGTCACTCACTCAGGTTGGGCTCAAACTTGCAATCCTCCTACCTCAGCCTCCCAGAGTATAGGGATCACAGTGTCTGCCCCCACTGTTCTGTTGTTTGGTGTTTTTTGCCCTTTTCCATTTATCACCTCACACCCCAGCCCTAACTCAGAGGTACAAAGCCATTTGGAAATAAGTGTCTCAGAAGCCATGTGCAGATAGAAACTAAACCCAGGCCTGGAAGCAGCACCTAATTCTGCAACTGTTGCAGAGCAACGTTCCCTCCTGAGAGGTTTCAGCACATCAGTAAGGGTGTCTCTAGCCAGAAAATCCACCTTCCTCTTTGAACATCTCTTTCTAGACTTCCTTCCCAGGACAAGGTGTGAGTGAGACTTGGTGGACTTCTCCAGAGTAGATCTAGACTTGCCTAGAATTGTGCCCAGGCTTCTTCTCACACCCTGCTTACAGCCCCAGGCTTAGCAGTGCCTGTCCACACTGTATGTTCAGAACAGGCAGGCAATACTTTGCTGATGAAATACAAAAAAGAATCTCAAGGACACAGAATGCCACTATTGAGCTTCCTTTCCCCATCAGTTCTTTCCCAATCTCTTTTCCACTCAGCAGAGTGAACAACTTATACTTCTCCCTGCTCAGCTCGGAACACTGGGATGGGATGGGCGTGAACAGGATGTTAGATCCTCCAGCTGTGCTAGGAATCAGGGCTGTGCTAGGAGCCCAGACTAAACTACAGTAAGCAAAAATTTTAATTAAAAAAAAAAAATGCAAAGACTCTAAAAACAATGGAAAAAAGAAAAACGTAACAAAGGGTACAGGATGTATGGGCTCCTAGGGAGCTCATACATATTTCTCAACATGGGTTCTCAGAAGAAGTGAACTAGTTTCTAGAGCATTCGCTCCCATTAGCACACAGTCTCACAGCAAGCACCTTGCCCTAGGAACAGGACAATATGGGTGAGCACTGTTGTTGCCCAGGATCCACCTGGATGAAACCAGCCACCTCTCTCGTCACCCACAGCTGCATGACCTCTTTCAAAGAAGAAATGACCACAGTTTAGGTTTTAAATATCTTTTGCAGAAGACAATCTTATTTACATTGATACAGAATCATTTTACATACTTAAGTCAGACACTAATGTAATTTTTAATTTTGTAAATTATAAAGAAAAACAAAAAGGAAACTACTAAGAAATGTTCTTCATTAACCTGTCTTACACTAGCAAGGACTGTGAGCCACATGGAAACTGCAATGTGCTACTGGCAGAGGCAGGGGACAGGGCATTTGCCCTGGCTGCATGGTGGGGAACCTTTCCTGGCTTGGACTGCTTTCCTCTCTTGAACACACATTTACACTGGAGAAGACTATGATTCTCAGCACTGAGTAATTTAGATCTTGGTTTTTTTGTTTGTTTGTTTGTTTTGTTTTTCTGTTTTTCTTCCGGTACCAGGAATCGAACTCACGACCTTGCACTTGCCAGGCAGGCGTTTTTGCTGCTGAGCTAAATCCCCAGCCCCCAGCACTGAGTAATTTAAACATGCTTTGGAAAATAGATGTTAACAGTGTAGGCGGTAAAAGCCAAGATGCTGGCTGGCACAGCTTCGAGTTCCTGCGGACGGCCCCATGGCTGTAGCTCAGAAGTGCAGGAGCTCCACCACACTCAGCTAGAGTGACAGAATTCAAAAGTCAGGGCTGGCTGCCATCGGCGTGGGGTGGAAGGGACTGTGTGTCTTCCAGGGACCCTGTGGGCCTTTGGGTGCCTGCCTCCCCAGGCCCCAGCACATACTTTCCAGCTGCTTGGTACCTTAGGGAATTAAAAACAAACTCCAAGAAGAGGCCTGGGTAGAGCCTGTTGGGGGAAGACAGCTCTGGTGAGGTGTATAACCCCGTTCCTGATGAAGACGACCCGTCAGGGAGGACTCATTTCAGCACCTCCTAGAGGTCTGCTGAGAAGAAAATGAATCACTTCACACCTTGGTGCAGTTTAAGGCTTCATTTTAAGCTGAAAGCATGGCCTTTAATTCTTTAAGCTCTCCACATTTGATTCCAAACTACAGTTTTAGTGCTATAAGAAGTGTCCAGCTGTCTTACCCTGCCTGAGTCAGAAGAGGTGCATCACCTATCCACGAACAGGGAACTTTCACCAGTCCTTGGGCGCTACATTCACTGCCCAGGGGCTGTCCACTGTGACCTTTTTGTGCAGAGATGTGC